GCTGCTTGCCAGTGTCTTATCTGACTGGGGTAGCAAGCCCCCCTGCAGCACTTAATATTCATTAAGGGCAATCATAATTCTTAAAAGTCTACTTCACAAATATTAGTAAAAGTCTTAATCATGTGAGTTGGTAACCTAGATTTGTTCTATCTGCCAGAGACACAATTTGGTATCACTTGTTATTTGTCTATTTGCAAGTTTCGTACTTTTGTACCTGCTGGGGACCAGCCTCTGGCAAAATGTCGTGTCAGGGTTCCTGAAAGGATGAGATGGCATCGGCTAATACGAATGATCTGAAACTTAGGGACTGAGGGGAAGGGAATGAGAAGACACCGACACTTGGTGAGGTGTTAGTATCTTCTGCTGAGAGACTCAGCAGGTTCTTTATTTATACATGTTTTGCAAGCATTGAAATTACATTATCAAGTGCATAGAAACAAAGCAGAAACAATTAGTGCATCTCCTTTTCCGTGCTCTCAGCAAGAAGGCAACCTTCAAGGTTAATAAAAAACTAAGTCTTACTCTAAAATTTATTGTTTCAGCTAAACAATAACCTAAGACAGTTGATAGCTGCCAGCACATCCCTATCAGCTAAAACCTAAGCAAAAAAAAGGCTTTTCTTATTCTCAATGGCCTTCACAGCAGGGGCCGGCTGCTACTCAGCTATCAGAACTTCCTCTACCTAGAAACTCCTTAACTCAAATAGCTTCATTTAAAAACTTTACCAAGAAACTTCAAGGGAAGGCAAAAAAGGACTTACAATAATAGTTGTATTGTAATGCTTGTCAGGCATGTTCAATAAACCATCTCCCATTGGCAAGTGGGCCAAACTGCCCAACAACTAATTTTTAAACAAACAATTTTTCGTGCTATTTACTTACAGTATGCTGATAAATATAATTTATTGCCTAATATACTTTTTGATAAAATTTTTTCTCTCTATGACCAAGAACAAAAAGCAAAGGGATGCCAGATCTTCAGCCCCACGGTGTGAGGCCTTTTCTTTTAGCTGCTTGTCAGTATCCTATCTGGCTGGAGCAACAAGGCCTCCTGCAGCATGTACCTGGATCATGACTAACACTTTGCAATGAAAGCTACAAGGTCTCTGTGACTATATGTGTGCTTATGTGTGACTATAGGCATATGATTATCTACATTTAATGTTTTCCAGCACTAGATGTTATTGTCAAATTAATTTGTAAAAGATCTCTGCTGAGTTAATTTAAAGAAAAATAAGCTTTAATATCATTAGTGTAATTAAGTGAGATGAAAAACTTCATTTGTTAAAAGGACAAGTTCTCTTGGACTATTTGGTCAGCCTCTGATCAGAGATTATGAAATGTTTTTCTCTATCTTTCAGTAAACTGCCTAGAAAACAAAGTTTCTGTTTTATTGATTTCTGTACTTCATTTTGCCTTTTTGAAGTCTTTGATAAGAAAACTGAGTCCTCTCTATTAAAAGAGCTAAGTTATTTTTTTTTTTTAAACTCTGTACCCTTCTGTATTTTCCTTTGAGGTCTTTAACTGTGCATATAAAGGGTACTTTATTAAAGTCTTTAATTGAGACTGGATATATGGATAGGTACTATTTTGCCTGAGCTATGATCCTATTCAATCAAATGTTTTAAAACTTTTTGATGTATTTGACAAACTTGCCAAAAATCAAGTTCTAAGTGAAATATTGCTGACCTTGAACTGCATTCGGGATTTTCCAGAGGGTCTCTGGAAAACATCAAATAATGTGTTCTCTTTCCTTATAACAGGGAACTATTGGGGAATGTCACCAAGATGGTGACAGAGAACTACTTGGCTTTACTTACAAGGGGAACCACTAAGAATAATCCAGGAATGGGGCACACTGAGAAGCTTCCACAGATGGTGTGGAGACTCAAGCACCCCCTCAACTCTTAGACCAACACATACTACTTTATTGTTTTATTTTTTATTTTTTTAAAGATTTATTTATTTATTTATGCAAGCACTGGATACAGTCAGAAGCACGGGGGGTGACAGAATTCACCAGAGCCAAAGGGGGGAACAGAACAGGCAGACTGACGAAATACACTGCTGAGGGGAGTGGCAAGAGGCAGGAGAGGTCTGTGCGCCATGTGGGACACTTGCTGGCGGGTGGGGATCGAACCTGCGTTGCTGAGGCTGTGGGCAGCTTCACAGCCCAGCGCCAAAACCGCTGAGCCACCAGGGGAGGCCCAATACATACTACTTTAGGAAGGGCACCAAGGAGATCAACACATCAGTGTGATGGACGGTAGGTGAAGAGAGATGTGCAGAAGTATTTGCAAATGAACCTAGCCTAAAGAGAAATCAGGATAGCAATCCCATCAAAAAGAATTAAGTATCATGGGATAAATTTAACTAAGGATGTGAGAGACCTACATGCTGAAAACTATAAGATATTGTGTGAAGACACACAGAAATAGAAAGATATTCCATACTGATGGATTAGAAGGGTTAACATCATTAAAAGTGCTCTATTACCTAAAAATTCAATGCAATCCTCATCAAAATTCTGACAGCATTGTTTACATAAACAAATGAAAAAATCACAAACTTTATTTGGAACTACAAAAAATCCTGAGAAGAAAAAGAACAAAAATAGAGGTATCATGCTCCCTGACTTCAAACTGTAGTATAAATTGATAGCAATAAAAAATGCTAAGCATTGGAATAAAAATAAACACAGAGAACAATGGAACATAGTTAGGATCCCAGAACTAAATCCACACATAAATGACAAACAAACCAAGAACATACAATGGAGACAGGAAAGTCTATTCTGTAATTGTTCAGAAACCTGGACAACCATAAGCAAAAGAATGAAGCTATTGATATACTGCCGTCTAACACCAAACACAGAAAGTAATTCAAAACTGGATTAAAGACTTGGATGTAGGACCTAAAGCTATAAAACTCATAGAGGTAAACATAAGTGATATGGTCCGTAACATTGGCCTTAGAGATAACATAAATATTTCAGAAACTATGAAATTCTTAAAAACCTGATCTATCCTGGCATAATGTTATTAGTCATAACCATAGCTATTTTCAGAAGAATGTCACAGAAAAACCAAATTCTCTTGCCAATTGAATTACAATGAACAGGTCTTTAACTAACATGATCGTTTAAATTCTTTTGTCATTTATAGTTATTATTTTACTGGATGATTTTGCAAAAGTGTTTCTACAAAGTGCTTCACCTTCAAAGAGATTTAAAGAAAGACTCTGACAAGGACAAGTTTCTGATAACTGAGATCAGTTTGCCTTCATGTGGGAGGGACAATGGACCTTTCAAGCTCTTCCCCAACGCTGCCTGCACAGCCCACTATGAGCCAAGGGATGGGAGCCCGGGGCCTGCTGCTGTTCTCCTTCCCTCATCAGTGAAATGGGCCCATTTTAGGATGATACAATGTTAAATATGTGAAAATTTGCCTCTGCTAGAGGACACTGCAGACTTTGAAAGGGACAGGATAGGAAGTAAACCTGCAGAAAATTCCAGGCTGAAGCCCCATGTTAAGTTTTGGGTGTCACATGATCAGGTAAGACGTGTTGTGATGGATGAGCTATAAGCCTATCAGGCTCCTAAAAATGTGAAAGAAGTGTCAGTCGTTGAGAGGATTTGGAGGTTTTTGAATACTTATTCTCTACTTCACCCATATCTTTACACTTTATACTGACTTGTAAAGAAATAGGACCTATGAAATTGGGGATAAGAGTAGCAAATAGCCTTTGAAAATCAAAAATATGAGTGAAGCAACTTTAAGTTCTGAGCATCTGCCCGCAGGGCTATCATTTGCGTTAGATATACCTGGGGCTTTGAAGTTATGGATTGGACATTGCTCAGAGGCAACAGGAAGTGAAAGTGACCCAGGATTCTGGTCCCAGTTCTGGAAGGGGATGGAAACCCACTGTACCTCCTTATGGAAATAGCTCCTATCAGTGTTCACAGTGCTCCTTCAGGTAGATCCTCTCACCAAAAAGCAAACTGCAGCAGCCAGTGGCTGAACCCTGGTTTGCCTGGTGATCATGCATGAATTCTCACTGTTAATTAAGCCTTGCACCAACAAATGTGCTATCCTGAAAGGATTAACTCTATGGCTTAGATGATGGGAAACAGAGGGGTGAATGACTATGAATAAACCCATGTGCTGTCAGGGTATGTGGAAAGACAACTTGGTTCACCTGTAGGAAACTGAGGCCATCCTCACTGTCTTCCAAGGCTTGGCTTTAAGCCACTGACAGTCTCTGGTAATTAGGTGGTGCTGCACAAGCTCAGGCCTGAGTCCTGACAACTGACCCCTCAGGACATACAGCAGATTAAATGCATAGAAGTGGGCATTGTGGCACCAGGTGGGGTGGTGTATTGTCACAGACACAGGATTGCCCTTGAAATACAGAGGCTTGGTTAATAGAGTAAGAGCTTGTTCTATGTCTCAAGGTGACAGTCAAAGGGATCTGGGGCCGTCCACCAGAATTCCCAACTAGTCAGGAATTGGCAATTTGATTATATTGGTCTCCTCTCTCCAAGTAAGATTCTAAATATGCATCACTTGTGTGGACACTCATCTGGATTGAGTTTTCTCCTGTCACCATGCAAACCAGGCTGCCACCACTAGGGGATTTAAAAACTGATCACAATGTACATCTACCTAGTCAACTAGATAGTGATGGGGAGGTGTGAGGGTGTCACATTTCAAAGATTATGATATACAAAACTGGGCAAAAGAATATGATAATAAATAGAAGTTTTATTGCATCTATAACCTGCAAGCATGAGGACTGGAGAAAGGAAGAAAAGATTATTAAGGCAACAGATTTACTTACTAACAGGGTAACATCTTGATGGGTGGACTAAAGTATCGTCCTAGACCTTAACACATTTGAATGATCAACCAGCAGGACCTGTTTCCCCATATGCCAGAATGGGGATCTTTAGTGAGACACCAATATTACAAAGTGGAGTGCCCCCACTCTCACTTTGGGGCAATGTGCTCTGCTTCTGAGAACAACAAGCCCCATCATACCTGGGAAAGAAATTCTCCACTGGAATTTGTCATGGCCTTCCTGTGGGGATGGGTGAGTTTCTTCACACCCCTGATGAGGGAGACCTACTTAGTCCTCCTTGGGGTCTCATTGTCCTGCTGCAAGTTGAACCTGTTGAAACTCACTAGACATGCAATGGAACACATTCCACTGAAGGTGTTGTAGAAATTCTGGCCTTTTACCCAGGCAGAGGAAGAAGAAGTTGTGCTTCAGGAATGGGGAGGTCAAGAAAATCTTTATTGCTCTTGTGGTTTAAAGACAGACCAGCTTCACTGGCTATCAGCCTGTTTTGAAATGCAACTTTGCTTAGATAGGAGTGCTGTGGCCCTGGCCATGAATCTTTTTATTTTATTTTTAAACATTTATTTATTTATGCATGCAAGAGCTAGGTACAGGCCAGAGGTGTGGTGGTGGGGCAGGTGAGAGGATTCACCAGAGACAGAGTGGGGATCAGAACAAGAAGACAGATCGAAGCACACTGCTGAGGAGAGCAGTGGGCAAGTCAGGGGAGGTCTGCTGTGTCATGTGGGTTGCTCCCTGGCCTGCTGGGGGGAATCAAACTCGTGCTGCAGAGGCTGTGGACAGCTTCATAGGTTGTGTCTCAACCCTTTGCACCACCAGGGAGGCCCTGGCCATGAATCTTTAAAAGGAAAGATCTTTAAGTAAGCAAACTTGTTAATTATGCTTGCATTGGAGTGTTCATTATACCTTGGCTGGAAGTTCTCCTACGATCTTTATTTTATCCATTAGCTAAATAATATATTTTCTCATCAATGGGTGGTATTGATGTCCTAGCTCAAGTGGGGGTCCCTGTCTGGCATACCCACCCTCACCCCCAGTCCATCTCATGCTTGACAATGCGCCCCCCACCGCTCCCCCTCTACCATGTGTGGTGTGCTGACCCAAATCAGATTCCTGAAGCTGCCCATCTCCTGCTCACAGGCAGGTGGGCATGTGCAGTTTTCCACTAGTGCCGTCATTTGACTGCTGGCTATGTCTCCCCCATTGCCTGGAGAATGTTACAACACACATAAAATTCACCCAACAAGCCTTAAGTGATCACTGCCAAAGCCTGTCTTTACTGAACACTGTAATGTCTCTAATGAGAAGCTGTTCATACAAAAACCTGCCCACAGATGTTTAGAGCAACTTTATTCATAATTGCAGCAACCTGGAAACAAACAAGCTATCATTCAATAGGTGACTGAGCAAATTGGGTATATTTCTACAATGAAGATTGTTCAGTGATAGAAATATACTATTAAGCTATGAAAGAATATGGAGAACCTAAGAATAATCTTAGACTGTATGAACTCCACACCATATGATTTCAACTATATGGTATTCTGGAAAGGAAAACCAACAGAGACAGTGAAAAGACAATGGGCTGCCCAGGGTTCAGGAAGTCAGGCAAGAAATGACTAGGTGGAGCACAGAGAATTTTTAGGTCAGTAAATTGTTCTATATGATACTGTCATGCGAGATAGATGGCATTTACGCAATTGTCAAAACTCACAGACCTGTATAGCACAGCATGAACCCTAATCTACATTAAGAAAATTAATGAATAATAATGACTTAGTATTGGTTAATCAATTATAGCAAATGTCCCACACGAATGCAAATTATAGGACTACATGTAAAGCAGGGGGTATAGGAGGTATGTGGGAAGTCTACTTTCTGTATGTTTTTTCTGTAAACTTAAAATAGATTTTGCCACTGAGAGAATATTTTACAAGTATATTTTTTTACATAGGAAGATATATATTTGCTTTTTTCTTTTACACAGTTTGAATTCTAGTAATATTCTATGTATACCTATTTATTTTATAAAAAAAAAGAGTATGTAAATGAAACACCTGTGGCTATTCAGTTTTCTGAACACTTTGTTTCAATTCTTTAAATCATAGGTACAGACTTGGTATTTATTAGTAAGTCTAATAAGATTATTAAATGGTAAACTGAGGTGCACTAAGAATTTCAAGAATTTATTTGAGCAAAAATTGACTCAGATCAGACAGTGTCAGACTGAAAGTGCTTAAGAGCATTCTGTCAACAGGAGGTAGGAAAGGTTTTCACAGCAAAGATGGAGTGGCAAAGCAAAGAAATAATTTGATTGGTTGTAACTTAAGTGGTTGTCCTACTGGGAAAGACCTAACTGGCATGTCATGATTGTTCTAAATTTTGTTCTCTGGGATCTGAGTGCATTTACAGGAACTGACTTTGGCTTAGGCTTGTGTTGCTTCTGTAGGCTACTAAGGCATTAAAGCCACTTCAGTCTAGTGACCGCTTTGCTTATTTACTTTAAGAATTCCCCTGTCTTGGTCATTCATGAGAGGGTTGTTATAGAATCTCTGAAACTCCATTTAGCCTTTCACGAAAATATTGATGCTAATTTTTGGCATATTGAATTATTACAAGAATTAAAGAAAACATGCAATAAAATTAATTAGATGTCATGCTTAGGAGTACTGATATTGTAAAAGTTATAATTCTTTTTTCCTAAAAATATCTACAAACTGATATTGCAAATCTAGGAGAGTCTATATTTTACCCAGGCAGAAGAAGAACAAGTGGAATGGTAAGGTCAGGAAAAGGTTTATTATTTATGCATGGGGCCTCAGACCTGGGTAGCCCTATAAGGTCTGAGCCTCGCTTTAAAAAAAAGGGTTCCTTTTATTCATAACTGTCTTCATATTTGTTACATCGATAACATCATTTTCAGCAGGCGAAACCATTTTCTGCAAAGTCCCCAGAGAAGGGGAGGGGACAGGTGTAGGGGGAAAAGATACAGGCATTCAGGAATGACCAGCTTGGCCAGCTACCACCCACTTGAAATGTTACTTTGTTTAGCTAAATTTAGTCATAAAGCCCTCTAAGGAAAGATTTGTTAAGTGAGCAAACTTGTTAATTACAATTGCATTGGAATGTTAACTGCACCAGGCCTAAGACCCTTTCACAGGGAGCTTTAATAATTATTTGCTTAGTGGTTCACTTTCAGGGTGACCAAATTTTGGTATTAGCATCACTCAATTACTATCTGGTTTAAGTTCTTATTTCTCTGTGAAACTCACAGGTGATGATGTCAGGTTCTTGACCACATTTGCTGTCTATTTCATTGCTTACTTTGTTTCTCCAAGTGAGACCACAGAGACTATAGTGATGAGTATCGGAAGGATTATACCAAGAGAATGAATAAACTCCTTAGACAAGGCCCTTGAAATCCAAGCCACTTGGTATCAAATATAATGAAGAATTTACCTAAAGAGGCATTAAGTGTTTCTTTGTAATTCCTTGTACTTCAGCTTTTACAGTTATAGAGGTCTTGATCCAAGTACAACAGAAGGTATTTGCTATGACACAGCCTCCTTGTTCAGTCAACAAGTAATCTACCTCAATTATATCATCTAAAACCAATTTATCAGATCAAAATGATCATTATGCCAAAGAGCATATTTTGGGGTGGCATATTCTGCAGATGGTGCTTACTTTGCTCTCCTAGATTTTCAATATCAGTTTGTAGATATTTTTAGGAAAAAAGAATTATAACTTTTACAATATAAATACCCTTAGCAAGACATCTAATTAATTTTGTGCCTTTTTCTTTAATCCTTGTAATAATTCAATATGCCAAAAATTAGCATCAATATTTTCATGACAGGCTAAATGGAGTTTCAGAGATTTTAGTGAATGTATAGGTGATAAGTAATAGAGCCAAAATGATGTTCAAGTTGATATAGGGCAGCAAGAGGCACTAAAACTGGCCAAGAACACTGCCCAAGTAGTTTATCTCTCACTTCCTGAGTTTTCACTGATGCACACAATTGCAAGACTGCTCAGGTTCAGAGAACAATAATAGGATTTATTTAACAAACTAGGGAAAAACAAAGAGTTACTGAGGCCAAAAACGGCCGTTTACCTCACCTGAAGCAGTGTCCAGTGTATTTATTTATTTATTTATTTATTTTTCAAAGATTTATTTATTTATTTATACATGCACTGGGTACAGTCAGAAGCGCGAGAGGGTGAGAGAATTCACCAGGGCCAGAGCGGGGAGCAGAAAACCAGAGGAACCTAAGAACACCATTGAGGGGAGCAGCAGGCGGCAGGAGAGGTCTGCGCGCCATGTGGGACCCTCCTCTTGTGTCCGGGGAGCAGCTGGAGATCGAACCAGCGCTGCAGAGGCTGTGGGCAGCTTCACAACCCGGTGCTCAACCGCTGCGCCACCGGGGAGGCCCAGTCCAGTGTATTTAAAGTCCTAAACACTAACACTCCAAAGATGGCATCTTCCAGCCACTGAGGATGCAGAGCTCCTCTCCTGAAGGATAGTCCACACTCCCAAGATGGCGTCTTCCCATTACTGTGGACCTGAAACACGTGGCAGGCAGACTTTAGGCCAGGTTCCAACTCACGAAGTCAACAGAAGACACAACAGGGGATGCTCCCCGAACTGCCAAGATGCTTCATCCCAGCTCCAGACGAGCAACACTCAAAACAGCTGCTGAATGACCCTATAAACAGCCACACTCACACAGCTCAGTGAGGTGCCTTACTATGGGCCTTTGCCTTCCCTGCTAGGCTGTAACTGCTGCAAAACTGGGAGCAGTTTCAGGTGCTCGGCTGCTTGCAAAGCCTCTGAACTTTTCATCTCTGAGGTTGGCTGCAGGAGGCTCCTTCCCGTCCTTCAGAGGTCCATGACAGCCTTCTGGAAGATCGACATGGCGGGGGCCGAAATCGCTGAGGCCGGAATCACTGAAAATCTGAAAATGCTGAATCTTGAGCACTAAATACTCAAAGGTTGAATCCCAAACACTGAATTCCAGGGCTGCGTCTACAGTACTTTATATTTCTTTTTTTTTTTTTTTTTAGATTTATTTATTTATATAAGAGCTGGGGTACATGCCAGAGGCGTGGGAGGGTGAGAGAATTCACCAGAGACGAGCGAGGAGCAGAACAGGCAGATGACTGAAAACATTGCTGAGGGGAGCAGCGGGCAAGCCAGGAGAGGTCTGCTGTGCCATGTGGATTTCTCT